CACGCACGCGTAGAGGCGACGAGGTGGTCTGTGTGGCTCTCGCATGACAACGAACTGCGCGGCGCATGCGCGCTGGTGCCGCCGTGCTCGCTGCTGCCCTCGCCCGATCACGACCCCGCATTGCAGCGAGCTGACTGCTGCCCTCGCGTGTCGAAATAGGGGTACGGCAGGGGGGGGATGTGCGCACGCGCAGTGTTTCCGCACAGCTCCCTGCTGCTCTCTCGACGTACAGTAGCACACGCGGAGGGCTTGCGCATGCGTATTGGGTTCCCCTCGCTCTCTGCTGCCCTCGCGTGTCAGCACATGAGTACTGCACCCGGCGGGGGTGCCAAACAGCCTCGCCGTGCTCACTGCTGCCCCCGGGGGTCGACAAGCCAGTCCTGCAGCCACTACTGCTCTCGCCTGCCTACAAAGAATGCTGCAGCCAGCTGTCACATCCATGCAGCAGGATACGCGTACCTCGGGAGAGGTCAAAGACGCTGGAGGACCCAGCGAGACATACTGGACTAGGGAACCCCACGGCTTTGGGGCAGCTGTACAGGAGAGCACAGGGCTCAGTGGCGGGTTTCAATCAGTTGGTGCCCGGGTTGGCTGGTGCCCACAGTCCGTGCCTGGAGTGGGGAGAGGCCACAGGGTGCCTGGGAGTATTTTTCGTCTCTCCAAAAGTATTTTTCGTCTCTCCAAATCACAAGTACAGGCTGTGGTTCCCACCATGCTCCCTGCTGCCCTAAAGCAGCAGTGCAGACGGGGGATGAGCGCATGCGCAGTCTTCAGGCATTGCTCACTGCTGCCCTCGGCTGTCAAAACAGCAGTACTGCAGGCAGAGGGGCCGCGCATGCGCAGGGTTTCCGCAGAGCAAACTGCTGACCTCTGGTGTCCACAAAGACGTACTGCAGCCCACGGAAACACGAACGCTCAGTTCTTCCGCTTCTTCTGCCCTCGCGTGTCGACAGAGCGGTACTGCACCCAGCGAGGGCACGCATGCGCATGCGTAGTGCTTCCGCACTGCTCACTGCTACCCTTGGTTGTCGACGCAGGAGCGCACCCAGCTGGCATGCGGCTGTGTACTGTGTTCCATTGCTCTCTCCTGCCCTCGGGTGTCAGAAAAGCAGTTCTGCACCCAGCGGGGGAGGCCGCATGCGCAGGGACTTCGCCGTGCTCACTGCTGCCCTCGGGTGTCCACAACCCAGTACTGCAGCCTCCACTGCCCTCGCCTGCGTTCACAGAACACTGCAGCCAGCCGGCGCGCCTTTGCGCAGTGCCGATCGCCGTGTTCGCCGGCACCCTGCCGTGTTTAGGCGAGGGGTC